CTATCTTGAGAGTGTCACTAAACAAAGGAGTGACCACGCAGGAGGTTGGCAGTTATGACGCACGATCGACGGATCGATCTGCATCATTGTTAAACTCGAGCCAAATATTCACATCTCTTTTGAGGAGAAACCATTCCCCAACATAGTACGGCATAGACAGAACAGAAGCGACAGACTCGCCGTATTTCATCATAACAATATAAAAAACAACAAAACAAAAAAAAAAACTATAATGGCAAGCAAACCTCTCAATTCACAATCAAACAATCACATTAATATCGTCATTTAATCTTTCTATAAAAATCTATCAATATCTTTTCATAATAGAATAAATTATTAAGAAGACATTAGCCTTTCAAATATAGATAATTCCTTTTATTTTCTTTTCTCAAAAAGGTTTTTTTCTAAAATATATCTATTTGGTAGTAGGCTAACATATATAGTAATGTATCTCACAATCTAAACATTAATTATATAACATTTTACTCAATTAATAAAGATCATGAGAAATGTTTCACTTAACACTTTAAAAAAAGTAAATAAATAAAACAAATAATTAACTAAAAAATTGTAAATATATAATTTAATATTAATTATTATCAATAAAAAACAATACTTTAAAAAAAAACAATATTTAAATAATATTTAGATATAATAAACGTTAATTATTAAAATGGTTAATATAAAAATAAATAATAAATATTTTTTTAATACAATATATAAAATTTATATTAATAAATAATTCTTAGGATTTTTAATTTCTAAACAAAATTTTTAAATCTTATATTTTACGGTTTAAATCGAGTTTTTATTTTGTTTCCAAAGAAAATATACTTATAGTATACTAAACTGTTTACTAATCAATGTTTCTTTATATTCAAAAAAATATTTTTATAAATTAATAAATTTAATTAAAGTTATTAATTAATTTTAAATATTTAATATATTCAAGAATTTATACAATTTTAATAATTAACATGTCTTTTTTCTCAATATATTTTATTAATTTATTAAGTAACAAAATTTTATTATATTTATTTTTTTTTAAAAAACAACCTTTTGTTAATGTGCAGCAATAAGCAAGTTCAATTAATTGTGATTAAAAAATAATCACAATCGAACTAACTTTGTGGAACCCCTCTGTATGCGTGGTAATACAGCCCATTGCAAATTACCTTCCGATTTGTGAGCAATTGGTATAATAATTTCGGGCATCCTCATTTTGGACAAGATTGGCTCGTGATTTTTGGGGTGGTGACAGGAAATTTCAAACGAGGTTGGCGTTCAAACGCTAGACAATGGAAATCCCATGTGGTTCCTTCACGAGATTTCGCATTGCGTACTACCAATGAAAAACAATCATAAACTGAC